CATATAATATAGAAAACAAGCACAAAATCGTTTAAATACTCTTGCTTTGCTTTGCTTTGGAATACATACAACGTGTCTACCTTGACAACAACACTACTTATCATCTCCCCTCCCCTAAAAAAGTAATTAATATCGCACTTTAGTATTCTTAGCGCTACTGTAATACGTCACCGTACATGGTTACGTTCCAGTTTCTCCTAGGTATTAGCGGGCACGCGAAGGCGGAAGGCTTGAAATACCGCCTTCCCAAATGCTCACTTTCTCAGTTCCTCCCACCAATCAGAACGCGAGTTAATAATAGTGATGTCAATGTGATAAAAACTATGATGTTTCTGTGAACCACAGAACTATATATATAATACATGTGCTCCTAACATGTACTCAGTGACTTCACGCGCATGCTTTTACCCTTTACTGTCGCTTGAATTTTTAAGCGGGCGCAAAAACAATACAAAATTTTGATAAAATGTTGATGCTAAAGATGCGGAGAAACTGACTAGTGTTTAAAATGTTGGAAATAAAAAACAGCGATACGCAGACTACAGTAATTTGTCAATGTTTTTCAGCATTTGGGCTGTTGGATTTGCCATGAAAGACATTGAATCATACAGGTTTATTCGTACTGCTTAGTTTTAATTTTTGAAATTATTGTATTTTTGGCCTTTCGCCGAAAATAATATGTCTAGCAGTTTTTTCAGAAGTATTGAAGACACTTTCTAAATCACTTGGTTTCAGTTTTAGTTGCCATTTTCTATGTTTTGTAGAACTGTAGATAAAATTGCTTTGTTCCTCTGCTCTATTCCTTCTTGCTTTCTGATAAACAGGGCCGAAACTTGGGTATAAACGTTCGGGGGGTATGGGGCTATCTTGCCTGACGTAATGGGCGTGGCCGTAGTATTGCCCGACAAACTTTCAAAGTTTATGAAGGCATGTGACATAGCTTTAAGGGACTTAATCACAACGTGCATAATTGATTTGTTTATATTTTGTATGTTTCCAGCAGTCATGGTTCTCAATGTGACTCAGAATACAATTATATTTATTTTAACATTTTAACGTAAAAATAAGTATCTGTGGCTGATATATTTCCGGCTACGACATTATCAGGAAAGATAGATCGCGTAGAGGCGGAGGTGTGTGTGTCTATCTCCGTAGTTCAATTAACTATAAAAGCAGAAATGATCTTGTTCCTGATGGTCTCGAAGCTGTTTGTTTAGAAATCTGTAAACGAAATAGCCGTAATTTTATTGCTGCACCTGTTTACCGACCACCCGACGCCTTATCCGCATTATTTGATGCTTTTGAAAAGATGCATGGTTTGATTGATGTTGAAAATAAAGAACTTCATATCTTAGGGGATTTGTATTGCGATCATTGTTAAAGAGTGTCTCTGATCAACCAATAAAAACACTGAAAACTATTTATGAAGCATATCAATTATCTCAATTAATCACTGAGGGTACACGAAAAACTAATAGAGCTTGTACTCTTATTAATCACTACGTAACGTTTATGCCAGAGACAATCAATTTGTCAGGTGTAATACATACCGAAGTAGTGATCACAGTTTAATTTACGGAATAAGGAAAATAAACCCTATCATAATCTCACGCGAAAAGGCTAAAAAAATTGAAGTACGAAATATGAAACGGTTTAATAAACATCATTTTAATGAGGACCTTCTTGCTCAGCCGTGGCCCGGCGTGGGAATAAATTTTCCTACAATCAGGCACAAATTCTATGTGGACTCTTTGGAAAGAATTATTTCTTGAAGTCCTAGACAAGCATGCTCCAATTCAGCATATTAGAAAGAAATCGTCTAATATCCCGTGGTTGACCAGTGAAATAAAAAAGTTACTTTTTGATAGATACAAGAAAAAACGTAGAGCGATGATAACTAAGCTAAATGCGGACTGGGATGAATATAAGGCATCTAGAAACATGGTCAATATTGCCTTACGACAGGCCAAAGCTGATTACTACCGCAATGAAATAGCTATACTCAAAATAACAATCCCAAAGAGGTCTGGAAAACAATTAATAGCTTACTAGGTCGTTCCTTCAGTGACACATCCGTGAATGAATTAAACTAAATGATGCCAAACTTACTTCACCCGGTGAAATAGCTGAAGCATTTATGGCAGATTCCAGTGTTTCTTTTGAACAATTTGTAAAACCTATTCAATCTAAAATTTACGTTTTAAGTTGGTGCCATAGAGCAAAGTACTCAACCTTTTAAACAGCCTATCTATATCTAAGGCAGCAGGCATATTGAAAGCTACAAGTCTCATTGCCTCCACACTTACTTATATTTTCAATCATGCGCTTATCTCTAGCCACTTTCCATCTGAATAGAAAGTGGCAAGGCTGCTTCCTCTTTTCAAAAAAGACCAACGAAATTTAGCTGAAAATTATAGACCAATCTCAATTTTGCCATCAATAAGTAAACTAATGGAAAGAATTATGTACGACCAGTTATATGAATATCTTAATGAGAATTCGTTACTATCTGACCACCAGTTTAGTTTTCGTAAGTTTCATTCGACCGCTTCGGCTCTTCTAGATTGTACAAAAAGTTGGTATATGAACATAGACCGTAAAATGTTTAACTTAGTAGTGTTTCTTGATTTAAAGAAGGCCTTTGACACTGTCAACCATGATATACTAGTGCGTAAATTGGAGTTATACGGTATCACCGGAAATGCGTTGTCTATATGATTAAATCCATTTTAACCGACCGTAAACAGAAATGTCAACTTGGTGACGTAATAACTTCTAAGAGTCGTGTTATATGCGGTATCCCACAAGGCTCCATTCTTGGCCCACTCTTGTTTCTCTTATACATAAATGACCTGCCAGACTGTCTTAGACAAGTTAGTCCTCGGCTGTTTGCCGATGATACGATTCTTACTGCAGCGGGAGAAACTATAGAAGGGGTTGAGTTGGCCATGAATAATGATCTCTTACGAATAAAAGAATGGCTTTTGGCCAACAAACTAAGTCTTAATGTTGCAAAAACGGAATTTCTTTTAATTTAATTGGCTCACATCATTAATTGAACAACCTTGATTCTCAACCATCTGTTAACATCGGTCATGACAGTATTAAACAAATCCAACATAGTACAGTTCTTGGCGTTGAAATTGACGAAAATCTATCTTGGAACAAACACATTGAAAATGTAGTTTATAAAAAGGTTACGTCTGGAATTGGAGCTATGTTGACAGAGAAACTCTGTCTTCTATTTATAATGCTTTAATACGTCCTCATTTTGACTATTGTAGTGAGGTATGGGAACACTTTGTGGGGGCTCTCCAGCAGACTTCAAAAACTGCAGAACAGAGCTGCAAGAAGAATAATGAATTTTAGGTACAACACACCTGGTATATAGAAGCGCTCTCGGGTGGGAGCCTCGTGAAACTCGACGAGCCAACTCCAAAGTTAAACAAATGTACAAATTTCTAAATGATTTGGCTCCAAGTTCACTCACTACTCTCTTCGTGCGCAAAAGAAACATAACAGAATATGATTTTAGGGGTTCCTCTACCTCACTACAACTACCAAAAACTGAAAACCTTGAGAAAAGCTTCTGTTATGATGGAGCTACATTGTGGAACTCATTACCTGCATATATACGTGATTCATATACATTACCAACATTCATAAATGCAATTGACGCGTATAATTTCTAATATTAATTATGTTATTAGTTTTGTACATAATTGTTTTATAGTTATTTGTAAGTTTAGTGTGTGTAATATTTTGTTATATAATATATCATGTAATCCACACGCCCCTCGTGGAAATCAGCGTATAGTTGACGGGGCCGGCGTGTGATCTTTTAAATAAAGTTTTACCTAAACCACAGTCGGCCCCAACTTCGCCAGAAATACAAGACACGCGATCAAAGAAGATATAAACAGACTGGTTCAGAGCAAATTGCGTATGTGTATTCTTGTTTCAAGCGGCTACAGTGTTGATCTGTAATCACGTTTATTTAATACGAACGACTGTATTTTCTCGCGAGTTTTCTTAGAGCCCATTTTTTCAAACAAATAGGTCTGAATCTGAGTATAGAGTGATACAGAACGGCGGCTGTGGCACATCTTCTAAAACCAAGTTATCCTTCAGAACTTCCCCACAAGATTCCATCTCCTGACAGCACCAAGCTTCGTGTGTATATAATATTATGTGTTTATATAACACTGTGGCCGCATTTACATTTGTGAAATATGATACAGGTGAGGGAAGTGTGGTTTGAGTAATTTGATACATCAACCAGAGATACTTTATATTTTACTTAAAATGTTAGAATAAATCTACGTTTATGCTCACCATAATTTAAATATCTTCAAGACCGTCTAATATTCGCTGTAGCATCTCGTTTTGTTCCTTGTGATCCGCATATTTTTTAGATATCGCGCTTATTCGCGCGTAGCATTCTTGGCTCGCTAGCAGTTCATCGGCATGCATCATAATCGCCTAAAATTTCGCTATCAACTGCTTCTAGAGTTCCAATTTCGTGACTGCATGGTATCATTTGATTCATCTCCTGTAATATACCCAGGAATATAATTCTATTCTGAGTCACATTGAGAACCATGGGTGCTGGAAAACATACAAAATATAAACAAATGTATAATGAGTCCCTTAATTTCGACCACCCCCTTTCGCATCAGATTACGACACAATTTTTCTAATATAAATATCTCGGCGAGTATTTACCCCCCTTGTAAATAAAAGCCATCATTGAAATCCTCATAAAATAACCTTTCGAACGGGGGGTCAAGTGCCGTCAGAGCATTACACAAACCGAAACAATCATATATTTACTCACCGCTTGGCCAAAGATTCTAGATTTCATATCTACAAGATCTTGAATATCTCTTGAACTTTTCGTCATTTTCTGAACGGCTATATGTGTAAAATACTCTTTGTATCCAAGCGCTTTCGTGTAGAAAGTTTCGTATGTATACGCCGACTAGAAATATTTATTTTGAATTTTTCAAGATATCGGGTTTTACTCGCACTTGCGAACATTGCGCAATAATTGGCCAATAAGAAGCTCCTGTTGGCCGGTATGACGTAAAACTCACGCGTGTAGGTGCAATTTGACCTTGCGAATCCATTTCTGGCCTTTCCAGGGTCATACGATACAAACGTCGCATTGTTTTGACGGTTTTCAGACGTATTTCCGGTTGGGATTAACTCACTTCGAGCTCACAGTCGGACAAGAAATGGAAATATATTGATAAAAGATACAGATTTGAAGATACAGGCTTGCAAATAACACTCTAAATAGTGTTTTTGATGGGGATTCGAACAAGACTATTACAAAGACGATATGTGCGAAGGGGCCGAAGTTATTTTCAGCGAAAGGTATGGCTAGTCTATATTTTGTTCAGACAATTGCGTAATTTGATACAATATTATCGTGTTTGACTTTCAAAGGCCCATAAATCGTTACAATGTTAATAATGACTATAACTATCGTTTGGAACTAGTCTATCTTTTATTTCTGAATCGATTGGTGGTATTTCTGTCTTCATAGCATGCACTGAACCGAAGGTATGAAATTTATAGCCGTCGATCGCTCAGGATCGACGCGATATGGCCTGTGGCGAGAAGGGTTTAAGCTATGTCACACCACGCTCATCCCAGACTTTTGTTGATACGCGACATTTTCACGAAAATCGCTGTTTAGAGCCGAATATCTCGTGAATGAAAAGAGAAAAAAAAACGAAAAATGTGAAAGAACCCATTAACTAATTTTTTGTCCTCTACTCAAAAATAAAAAAAGAAATTTGTGACATAAGCACTTTAATATTTGAAATTAACT